TCCCACTTCCTTTCCTATTCCTATCAACTCTACTATCATTGAGTTCGCCGGCACTGCTTGTCTTTGCTCTTTTGACCCTTCAAGCACTATCTGTCCCCTTCAACTTGATGCTACTGTCGACTGGAATGCAGACACAGGTGCCACATCCCACATGACCCCTCATCGTCACTGGCTTCGCAATTACACTCCCAATCGCATCCCTATCAAGCTAGCTGACAACACCTTTGTCTACTCTGCTGGTGTTGGCACTGTGGTCTTCAACCCAGTCATTGATGGCAAGAGCGTTAGACCTGTCGAGTTTTCAAGAGTGTTGCATGTCCCTGACCTTCGTAACAACCTGCTCTCTGTCCTCTACCTCACTCACCACAGTGGCTTCCATGTCACCATTGACTCCACCAAGATGTCATTTCAGCGTCCTGCAGGCACCATATTGTTTGTTGCACCCATCAGCAGCAGCAATGCAGCATTCTTAGATGGCTCCACCGTCCCTCTCTCTGAATATGCCTCTGCAGCGACCACTCTACCTCTGGACTTGGACCTATGGCACAGGAGACTCGCCCACCATCACTTAGCAGGTGTCAAGAAGCTTATTGATCATGACATGGTCACTGGACTTAAGCTAGATTCAAAGAAAATGCCAGATCCCATCTGTGAGCCATGCTTAGCTGGCAAGATGCATGCAAACCCATTCCCCTCATCTCAATGGCGTGCTACTCGACCTCTGGAGCTTGTCCACACCGATGTCCATAAGGTCCCCCACCCCAGCTTCTCTGGCTATCGCTATTGGGTCACGTTCATCGACGACTTCTCTCGATTTCGCTTTGTGCTCCCTATTAAAGCTAAGTCTGATGTCTTTGAGGCTTTCAAGACATTCAAGGCCTATGCTGAGAACCAGTCAGAGCGAAAGCTAAAGATCCTCAGAGATGACAAGGGAGGGGAGTACATGAGCAACGCCTTCATTGAATTCACCACCCAGTGTGGCATTGAGAGGCAGCACACTGTTCGTGCTAGACCACAGCAGAATGGGGTTGCTGAGAGAGCTAACAGAGTCCTCTCTGAGCGACTCACTACTATGCTGGACGAGTCTGGGCTTCCCAAGGCCTTCTGGGGCGAGTGTCTTGCTGCTCTGGTCCATGTCTGGAACAGATGCCCTACCGAAGCTGTAGACAGCGCTACACCCTATGAGCTGTGGCATGGTAATAAGCCTGATGTCTCACATCTTCGAGTTTGGGGATGCACTGCCTATGTGCACGTCCAGAGGGACAAGAGAGATGGACTTGGCTCCCACATGGAAAAGTGCGTCTTCATTGGCTACCCTGCTGGCTACAAGGGCTGGAAGTTCTACAACCCCACCTCCAAGAAGACAATCATCTGTGAAAGGGCTGACTTTGATGAAAGATACTTCCCTCTGTCCAAGCGCCCATCCAGTCCATCCATTCCAGCTCCCATCGCTCCAGCACCTCCTGTCAATGCTCCCCATCCTCCCAGACAGTCGAAGACTACCTCTGAGCCCCCAGCAGCGCCCTCCTATTACTATCCTCCTCATTCAGATGACTCTGACTCTGACTCTGACTATGATGAGTCCAGTTCTGATGAGTCACTGGATCAAGGGGGAGATGTGGTCCCTCCAGCAGTTCCTGATGTCCCTCCTGTCGTCCCTGTTCCTGATCCAGTCACTCCTCCTCCTGCAGCTCGTCCCAATCCACCTCCTAGACCACCATCTCCCATAGGCATTGGTGCCAGACTCCCTCGACGCAATGTTAGAATAACCAAGTGAACCAAGCCACAAGTGAGCTAATGAGAGTGAACAGGACTATAGTCCAGTGTCAGTTGCTATTGTGTTGTGTAAACTAATGAGTGTACTATACCTATAGTCCAGTGTCAGTTGCTGAAGATCAACCAACACAGGACTTGCTACCTATGGGCGAGTCTATGTAAACAAGTGTAAACACTGCCTAAGTAAGTAAGGAATTCACATCACATGCTAAGTAAGAGTCCAATAGAGGAAGCAACATCATAACACAAATAACTCGCACCATAAGGTGCTCAATCACCACAACTAACACGCAATAGGCAACCTCCCAGAGACTGGTGGAAGCTCTCTCCAGCTCAGCTAACTGATATTGTTGATGATGAGACTGAGGATGCTGACTTTGCTCAAGGATTTGAGCTTGCCTTGTCTACCAGCTCTTCCACCGAGCTATTGTCTTATAGGGAGGCATTGACTCGACTTGATGCAGAGCAGTGGAATCAAGCAGCTCTTGAGGAACTCAATGCTCATCGCAGCAATGGGACTTGGAAACTCGTACCTAGACCAGCTGGAATCAAGGTCATTGGCTCCAAGTGGATATTCAAGGTGAAGCGCAATGCTGATGGCTCTATTGAGCGCTATAAGGGCAGACTTGTTGCCAAGGGCTACAACCAGCGTCCTGGCTTTGACTATGTCGAAATATTTGCTCCAACTGTGCGTATGCCCACCATTCGTGTTGTCCTTGCTATGGCTGCCATCCATGACCTCCACCTTCGCTCCATCGACATCTCACATGCCTATCTCAATGGGGAGATGGACTGTGACGTCTACATGGAACAACCTGAAGGCTTTGCTGAAGGTGATCCCAAGAAGATGGTCTGCCTTCTTCAGAAGAGCATCTATGGAACCAAGCAAGGTGGCAATCGCTGGAACAAGAAAATGCGCTCTGTTCTTGAGTCTATTGGATTCACCCAGTCCTACTCTGATGCCAGCATCTATATCTATGTCAAGGGTGAAGTTAGGATCATCTTGCCTGTCTTTGTTGATGACATGACCTTTGCATCGAAGTCCGCTTCTGCAATTGATCAGATCATCAAGGACTTGTCTCAGCACTTCAAGCTTCGAGACTTGGGCCCTACCACCCAGCTTCTAGGCATCAAGATTGACAGGGATCGCTCCAAGCACTCCATCACCATCTCCCAGCACCAGTACTGCCTTGACATCCTTGATCGCTTCAGCATGGCTGATTGCAAGCCTGTCTCCACTCCCATGCAGCCCAATCTTCAACTCACTCGTGCTCAGTGTCCCCAGACTGCTGATGAGACTCAGGACATGCGATCCACTCCTTACCTTGAAGCTGTGGGTGCTCTGATGTATCTTGCCACCACCACCAGACCAGACATTGCCTATGCTGTTGGCTGTTTAGCTCGATTCAACTCCAACCCTGGCCCTGCCCATTGGCAAGCTGTCAAGCACCTGCTTCGCTATCTGAAAGGCACTGCAGACTACTCCATCACCTATGCTCCTGATCCCAATTCCATCGAACTCTTCTCCACATTCTCTGATGCTGATCATGGTGGATGCAAAGACACTGGTCGCTCCACTGGTGGCTACCTGGTCAAGATTGGCCTTGGTGCTGTCTCCTGGTCGTCGAAGCTTCAAAGCATTGTGGCCTTGTCCACCACTGAAGCTGAGTACATGGCTGCAGTTGAGGCAGGCAAGGAGATCCGCTGGATGCGAAATCTCTTGTTTGAGATGGGCTTCCCTGCCACTGCACCCTCTGTCCTTAGGATCGACAACCAGAGCGCCATCTCTGTGGCCAAGCACCCAGAGCACCATGGTCGGATGAAGCAGCTTGATCTCAGCTGGTATTGGCTTCGAGATGTGGTGCACAAGGAGATTATTGCACCAGTGTTTGTGCCCACTGCTGACCAGCCAGCTGACATCCTGACCAAGGCATTGGCTCGACCCAAGGTGCAGTTGTTCTGCCAGATGATGGGACTGAGTAGCTTGAGGGGGAGCTGAGATGTGTAGAGGTGCACAATCAGGGGGGAGTGTTAGTTGTGGTGATTGAGCACCTTATGGTGCGAGTTATTTGTGTTATGATGTTGCTTCCTCTATTGGACTCTCACTTAGCATGTGATGTGAATTCCTTACTTACTTAGGCAGTATTTACACTTGTTTACATAGACTCGCCCATAGGTAGCAAGTCCTGTGTTGGTTGCTCTTTAGCAACTGACACTGGACTATAGGTATAGTACACTCATTAGTTTACACAACACAATAGCAACTGACACTGGACTATAGTCCTGTTCACTCTCATTAGCTCACTTGTGGCTTGGTTCACTTGGTTATTCTAACATTATTAATATAGTTAGGAAAATCTCACCCGCTGATTCATTGTCAAATTGGATATTAAATACCTTCTGATGACACCCAACACCACGATAATTGGCATTGATTAGCAAGTCCATTGCTCAATCTAATTCTTTCTCTTTCTTCTGCCTTGACACCCTCTCTGATGTGCTTGCTGGTCTCATTAATTCCCTCAACTGTGCATCAGTAACTATAGGTGTGTTTTCCACTGAACCACTACTAGTAGCCTGAGTGCCATCACCTTCTTCCGGGTGTGGAATATCAACAGTGGTTGAACTGTTAATTACATGGCGTTTAGCAGCCAGTTGACTATCAGCTACACTTGTTGCTTTGTTTTTACACTCCTGACGCTTACACTTATCTTTGCGTACATCATCAAAGTACTCCTTTTCCGCAAACAGCAATGCAGTCCCTTCCAGTGCATGATCTTGGGCTGCATGACCGAACTGCTGCCAAAGGGCAGACAACTTGCATGATGCTCACCACTGAATGACCAAAGTCACATCTGGTACATCCATTCCCTGTACATTAATCAATATCTCCTGAACATCATGATTTTAGCTCACATGCCTCACCATTCTAAATGCCTCTGTGATACACAGACCCCATGTATCTCCAACAACAAGGTTCGTGACTTTGGCCTCCTTAAATTCAGTGGTCATGTTGGAGTTGAACCATTTGACTTTGTCTCATAGCTATGGCAGGTGACGCACCCACAAGTACTTTGCAGTGCTTATTCCATTTTGGATGCTGTTCGAAGAAAATGAGGAATTTTGATGGTGGTGGATCATCTAATTTCATGCCGGTAGGTATGAGGAATGCAAGATCCGCATAGGACACAAGGGAGTATTTAATTTTGTGGACTCCGATCTTGATATTAGGGTGGTTGGTGGATACATGAATAGTGACAAGATTTTCTGATCAAATGTAAAGGAGCCTACATATGTCTCTGAGAGCATCTGATGTGAGCATTGCTGATGCGATCATGAAAGGTACCTGACAAGGTAGGATATAACGCAAGTGCCCTAATTCCTTGTACTCGGGCTGAAATTCTTCCCAGGTCACAATGCAGTGAGCTTCATAAAAGATGATACCAATTAACTTTGAGGCGAAGTTAACATTTCACAATAGCTTCTCAAACTCTCCACCTGGTTTCATCAACTGTTCTGGGCTGGTTATGATTGCATGGTAATGCGAGTCTTCTATTCCCTGCAGCAAACACATTGGTTAAATGTTCATAACTAACAGATCATCTTTAACTTACACAGAAATTTTCCATGCTTGCTGTCTCAGCAGAGATTGAGATGCTTTGTATAACGGCCTTTTTGAGGAAACTGACACTTTGTTCCCCTAGCTAGTTGAGTGGAGTCACAACGATCAGAATGCCCGTGTCATTGAGGGCTAATGGCAACCAGAAGGCAAGTGTTTTGCCCATCCCTGTCCCCATTATGCAGATAATATCATGGTCATTTTGCAGGAACACATCTGTGACTTTGAGTTGCCACAAGCAGGCTCTCTTGCTGAAATGATTTCCTCAACTGGTCCTATCTCCTTTAAGTATCATAGTTCCTCCCTTCAGATCACCAGTAATCCCTATACCCGAGTGATTATTGATCCGTCGTGTACATACTGTTCTCCAACCCCTTTCTTGTATGGCTCAGTGCATAGCCTTCTGCTATGCTATGCTACTTACTGAGAGTATATAAACATATGTACATCTGTCTGTAGATCTTTAGTCTGAGTATTACCTTTTCTAAGCCCTGCTCTCTTGTCCCTGTTCTTGGGCAAAACCCTTGACAAACTCCTGCTTGCCAGCCTAGGGGATTGACTCCCTAGGTCGGCTGCCTTCTCCAATCATCTGACTTCCTGTGCCTCCACTGCCTTTCCCGCATGTCGGACTTGTGGCTAATACTCTTGTACCTCTGTCCTCTGCATTTCCATTCTGCTTCGGACTTCATCCGAGCAGTCTTCTCTTCTCTGTTCCTACTGTTAGCTCCAACTACAGTAGCTCTCCGACTCTCCCCTGTAGGGCGGACCAATCTCTGCCCGATGTTCCTGCACTTATCTAGTAGTCCATCAGTCCTCCTTCGGAGGACCTCCGCTCCGACGTCCTGTCAGAGTTCGTAGAACTTGAGTCAGACTACAATCCGAAATTAGGGGCATGTACTCAGGTAAGGGGCGCAGCGCATGAGCTGAAGCCAAGCCCCTCAGACTCCATCTCACCCCTGAGCACAGTCTTAACACAGTGGCTGACCTTGTTTACAAATGTTTTGTTCCAGCCGCTGGTGGAGAGGTTGGGTGGATGAGGTTGGGCTGGGTTTGAAAGATTTGCGCATGTTTCTGGTTTACTAAGTGTGGTACTACTGCCCTAGTAGACTGTTGCCCTTACCTCTCCAGCAGTGGTGGGGAGGAGCCTGGGCCAGAATAGCAATGGGTGATGGTGACATTCTTTTGCTCATTGTGGTATAGCAAGGATGAGGAGAGAACATGAGTTCTTCTCTTGGTACAAAAGTAGGAATGGGTCCTATGTCTTCAGCACTTGAAGATACATAGTTAGAAGGACGGCCACCAACATTTGGCATTGTGAGATGGGTTTGCATATAATGGAGTGGGTATGGTGATGGTTTGAGTTAAAGAGGGATTGAGTTTGTCATATACCGGATCCAAGCACCTCCAATACCACCTGTGAAAATTCCTACTGCTAGTCTGACCCCCTGTTTCCCCATCCGCTCTATCCCTCCTTCTCTGACAATGCATGAAGTGCATCTCAGCAGGACTAGCCCTGCTACCTCCACCCAACTCTATTCCACTCCTCCGACACTACTCCTATTTTCTCCGATACCATATCCCATACCTCCGGATTCGGAAGTCTGAATTCTCCCCTATGAAAGTCCAGGTTTCCATGCTGTTGTCTGCCTGGTGCTCCGCTTTCATCTCTGGACTCACACCTATCTCCTTTAGAATACTGCTCTCCGGCTACCGGTTGTACACCTTTCCACTTTGCTTACTGATCCGTCCATCTGCACTTCATTTCTGACTTCATTTCTTTGATCTGTTGTACACTTACTAATAGACTCTCCATATGCTTTGGGCATAGCTTTTACTTTGCTGACTAATTATTTACATGATACCTACAGTATATAAACTCCTGTAAAACTCTGGTACCTCCTCAGTTTGAATATCATCTTAGTTCCTGCTCATTCCTGCTTCTCTGGACTTGAGTCTGATCTCTTGTCAATCTCCGAGTCTTGGGGTTATTTCTTAAGACTACATCTTTGGCTCTACCTCAGGGTAGTCTATCTCTGTTTTGTTTCTACTCCAGACTTGTCCAAAGTAGCCTTGCTCTATTCACTCCTAGCCTTCTGGAGTTCCACCGAACTCCCTCTATGTCTGACCTCCGGACTTACCCGGGCTTCCATTGGACTTCCCCTCTGCCTCTCAGAAATTAAGGGCATGTACTCAGGTAAGGGGTGCAGTGCACGAGCTGAAGCCAAGCCCTTTGAGTTACCTTTCCCTTGAGCACGACCTTAACAGAGTTGATGTGCCTGCTTGTATTCATTAAGGATTTTAGCAGAGTTGGATAAATCAGACTCTGATAGCCCCTTGTTATTGGCCTGAAGGATAGCCTTTCCATTTCACAAGGAAGCAGTAGTATGAGAGAGACTCTTTATGTCCAAGGATTGCTTCTACCTCGTGTGTTTCTTCTCCATTGATAAGGTCAGGAGGTGGAGATAAGAAGTTCAGGCCATGTTCATCATTCTCATGATAAGGGGTTAGAAGCACTGCGTGGAATACTGGGTGTACACACCATTGGTTAGAAAGTTTTAGGCAATAGATGACAGGTCTGAGGACTTTCAAGATAGTGAATGGTCCTTCTCTTTTGGGTGTGAGTTTCTTGTTAGGGTATCCAAGATGAAGGTTCTTTACTTCTAGCCAAACATTGTTGCCTTTTTTAAACAGGGTAAATGAGCAAGTGATTCTTTGCTTCATGGTTTGTCTGGCAAGTTCATGGGAAGATAAGGCCTCTTCTCAAGCTTTCTGAAGTTCAGATATTCTTGCTTTGACAGCTGGGAGATCTGATTTCTTGGTAGCCAATGGAAGAGCTTGTGGGTGGTAACCCATCATGAGACAGAATGGTGAAGAATTGTGAGCAGAGTGATGTTGGGAGTTGTGGATGGATTCAGCCATGGGGAGCATGTCTGACCAGGAGGTTTGGTCACTAGAGCAGAAGATATGGAGGAATACTTCTAGTTCCTGGTTTACTTGTTTGGTTTCTCTGTTAGTTTGAGGGTGGAATGTGGTGGAGAGTGCTATTTTGTATCTGAGAAGTCATCCTAATTCTTGTGCAAACTTGGCTACAAATTGTGGTCCTCTGTCAGAGATGATTTTGTGTCATATACCTGATCTGACCGCTCCAATATCAATATCTGCTCTGCTTTCCGACCACCTCTGCTCCATCTGTCCTCTGCTCCGTCCAATCATTGTCCGCATCCGCTCCTATGCTTCCACTCGACCTGCCCAACCGGTCCCCTTCTATAATGTCTCCATTCAACTGGAACCTCTTTCCCTGTTTAGACATATACTTTCCCCTTCGGTACATAGACCCTTACTTCTGGATCACTGGAAATTCCTCTTACTGCTTGATCACTGATCCGATGCATACATATTGATATCCGCTCCGACTTATGTCTTCGCCTGCGTAAGTGCTTTACAACATAGTTCTCCTAATCACTGCCTCACACTTAGAAGTATATAACATATCCTGTACTTAGATATTTTCCTCAGTCTTAATATTACTTGTCTTCTTGCAGTTTCTACTTGTAAGAATTCTCAGTAGGACCTTGCCTCCTCCGGACATAAGTTTCATCTTGTTGTCACCTTGTCATATACCGGATCCAAGCACCTCCAATACCACCTGTGAACATCCCTACCACTAGTCCGACCCCCTGTTTCCCCATCCGCTCCATCCCTCCTTCTCCGACAATGCATGAAGTGCATTTCAACAGGACTAACCCTGCTACCTCCGCCTGACTCTATTCTGCTCCTCCAACACTACCCCTATTTTCTCTGACATTATATCCCATACCTCTGCATCTGGAATTCCGGATTCTCCCCTATGAAAGTCCGGTTCTCTGTCCTGTTCCACCTGGCACTCCGCTTTCATCTCTGGACTTACACCTATCTCCTTTTAGAACACTGCTCTCCGGTTACCGGTTATGTCCTATTCCACTATGCTTACTGATCCGTCCATTCTTACTTCATTTCCGACTTCACTGCTTTGATCCATTATACTTAGTAATAGACTTTCCACATGCTTTGTACATAGCCCTTACCTTTGCTGACTGATTTATCTACATGATACCTACAGTATATAAACCCCTGTAATACTCCAGAACTCCTCAGTTTGAATATCATCTTAGTTCTGCTCATTCCTGCAATCTCCGGACTTGAGTCTCATCTCTTGTCCACCTCCAAGTCTTAGGGGTTAAACCTTAGGACTACTTCTCCAGCTCTACCTTAGGGTAGTCTAACCTCTGTTCTGTTTCTACTCTGGACTTCCGTAGTAGCCTTACTCCGTCCCAGTATAAACCTCCTGGAGTTCGGCGGAACTCCACCGACACTAAGTCCTCCAGAACTCCCCAGACTTCCGTTGGACTTCCCC